TTTTGTTTGTTTGTGTATTGTCTTTGAAAATTAATAAAATTTGTTTTAAATAAAAAAATAGGCTAATTTGTTCTTGCTTGACATAAATAAACAATGAAAAATTATCAACATGAATTTTTATATGCTATGTTAATGAAATGCACTTATAACTCTAGTTTCAGCAAAGTTCATAGTAAAGAAAGCAAAATTAAAATAAGAATATTCTAAATATTATGCCTATCTTACCATCCGAATCAGTACTTCTCAACCTTGGCAACTTTAAGATGTGTGGACTTCCAACTCTCAGAATTTCCCAGCCAGCGTTCTGAGAGTTAAAATCCACATATCTTAAAGTTGCTCAGATTGAGAAACATGAGGAAGGAGATGGTGACAGGAAATGGTCCCACAAAGTGAGACCCTAAAGACAGCCTGTGATTTGGTGATCTAGTGACTTGTTGGAATAAGGTTGTGAAATATTTGTAAGGAAAATGCTAAAATCAAATAACAAATACTGGTTTTTTTCTTCTTGTAAGTGGCATGACTTCACTACGTATTCCTTCACAGACAGGGCATGTGCTTTAAATAGAATAGAATAGAATAAAATTCCTTATTGGCCAAGTGTGATTGGACACACAAGGAATTTGTCTTGGTGCAATGTCACTGGATCCTCCTTATCATTTCATTACAGCGAAACACAGGACAACTCGCTTAGGAACTTCCTTACCTATCGTTTTCGCCAAGCCAGTAAAACGTCCTTCCATTGCCAAACATTCCCTCGTGCAAAGAGCATTGCCTGCTGAAAACACTTCAACCCCAAAGTAAGTGAAAAGGTTCAGGTCAGATATAACTGTTGCATGTTTTACGAGTCGCTGTTAGTGTTAGTCTTCTTACTGGTTTATTTATTTTATTTGCTTCCCATCTCATGGTTCAGGTGACTCTTGAGTGGCCCTTTGATGATCAGGAAGTAATGGTGGGGATTACTAAATTATTATATTATTGCCATTCGTAAGAAGAGCAAGGGGAACAATCAATTTCACCTTCATATAAACCAAATCTATAAGGCAATGGCTCCAGTGAGGAAATGCAGGAAAACAAATGGCAGCGTATGAAGTATCTATCCTTCTTATTAGCCGAAAGAAACTGCAAATATTTGCTTTTTCTTCCTTCCAGAACCAAGAAGAATATGTTGAAGGAGGACATTTCTAGGAAGCCACTTACTACTGTGTAAGCTATCTTCATTTTGGTTTGTGTGCTTTGAAATAAGAATTCTATCAGACAACCAAAAATTCATTTTGGAACAAATTGGACAAACAGGTAGTCCTCAACGTACAACAGTTCATTTAGTGACCATTCAAAGTTACAACGGCACTGACAACAGGGACTTAGGACCATTTTCCATAATTTCGACCCCATGATCATGGGGTCAAAATTAAATGCTTGGCAATTGGTTCATATTTATGACCGTTGCTGGGTCCCAAGGTCACATGATCCCCTTTAGCGACCTTCTGACAAGCAAAGTCAATGGAGAAACCAGGTTCGTTTAACAACCGGATTACTAACTCACCAACTGCAATGATTCACTTAGCAAATGTGGCAAGGAAGGTTGTAAAATTGGGCAAAGCTCACTTAACAAATGTCTCGCTTAACAACAGAAATTTGGGGCTCAATTATTGCCGTAAGTCAAGGACTACTTGTGCCACTTTGCCTAAAGAAGTGTAGTGAAGGCTGATTGGAAACAAGGACGGAGCAAATGGAGAGATGGGGGCAGAAGGTTGGGCAGGACATTCTGCCTTTTGATCTGATCAGAAACCTGTTAATCCTTTCCTGATTTCTTAGCCTCCTGAAATGCTATTTGCATACTTCTGGATTCATAATTTACACTGAATATTACATGTAACAGGAACAACCAATGGTTACGGTTCAACTATTTCAGGTATTCCACCTTTTAACTTGAGTGGGAATCAAGTGAATTGATTGGCTAAAATCTACATATATGTAGATTTTCAAATCCAACCTTGCGCCTTTGAAAGAAACTGGAATGCAGGTTATTTCACTAAAAATCATGAAGGGAATTAATCTAGCACCTCTGGAGGGCAATACTTTGGAAAAGGCTGAAATAGAATTCTGCCTATATAGTTAAAAAGATAGTTTAGCTCATTCTTATTTTTATAGAGTGGTGTTACTCTTAAAGTAAAAGTCAGTGCTTTATTGCTCCTATGATGTAATAGTTATATATCTGCCTATTGATGCCAAAATAATTTTCCAACAGAAATGGGTACATCTCCCAATTATCCTTGCTTTGGTCTTAGGTATAATGTTTGATACCGGTAGACTATTGATTCTAGTTTTATTTAGTTTATATTTTTAAAATTGCTGTAACTGGAACAGGTTAAATTCATTAGGCGAATTTTTGTTTTCCCAGAACTCCTCCGTTTAGCTCAGAAGAGGAAGTGGAGGAAAACGACATCAGGCACTCCTACATCTCACCCGAATTATCTCTGCATAAGGCATCCAAGGGCCACAGCAAAGACAGTTTGCCAAGATTTGCATATGGGAGTGATGTAAACATCCCTGAAGACGAAGTAGATCTTAAGCCATCCAGAAGTACAGAAGCTAATTATGTGGGCAGTATTTGGGGGGGGGGGGGAAGCTAAAAATATGTGGCACGTGTAGGGGAGGAGAAACTGCCTTAGAAAGGTGGGCAAGCTGAAGCAAATGAACCATGTCAAAGAATTGGAAAATGATACCTAACCTAAAGGATCCTTGTAAACTACCAAATTGTGACTTTGAAAGAAAATAGAACAGAATAGAATAAAATAGAATAAGCTGGAAGATAACCTTGGAGGTCTTCTAGTCCAGCCCCCTGCTGAAGCTGGAGAACCTATACTATTTCAGATAAGTGACTGTCTAGTCTCTTGAAAACATCCAGTGATGGAGCTTCCACGATTTCTGGAGGCAAGCTGTTCCACTGGCTAATTGTCCTCATTGTTAGGAAGTTTCTCCTTAATTCCAGGTTGCTTCTTTCTCTTGACTATGACTGAAGCCTTGAGAGATTCACAGCTATTTTATCATCACTGTGGGTGATCTTGGGTGGGAGCGCATCAACATTTTATAAAGTCTAATCTCAGGATTTGAATTTACTTTAATTTTCCAGGCCAGAGTTTGGGTGGTTAATGCAGCGGTGCCTACAAAATTGGCTAATCCCTGCATATAACTTTTTTTCCTTCTACTTACTCTGTAATTTCATGTCCAATGTCAAGGTAATGCAGAATTATTGATAGATACTATCCTGGTTCTGCTGCGTGTCTTCATGTCTAGAATGTACTTCCCTTCCCAAACAGCTGATAGGCTCACAAATGAATCTTCTGCCTTGGATCTAATTGTTTTCTTCCCCGTTAACCTTTTGCCAACTAGTTAATGTAAGGTTTAATTTTAATTGGGCTGCATCTTGTATGCCCAGAAGAAATAAATTCTCACCATGTTTATGAAATAAAACAAAAAAAACAAAATCAGTGAGCAATGCCTTCGCTTTTGAACATGTCCTTAATTTAAAACCTGAGATGGTACAGCAGTGTGACAAGTTTGCTGGGCAGCCAGCTGTGTTTAAAGTGGGGAATGAAAGGGGGCATAACCTGGGCTGGGTGCAAAAGTAGAAAACTACCTTATCAGCCAGGTAGTGTGCAGTTTCACAACCCAAAGCAGGATGGCCAAGGGCTGCTTATTTCGAAAGGAAGTCCAGATTTCAGCCTTGGAAATTTATTGGGTAACTTGGGGTCAGTTTCTTAGACCAATGTATCTTATATTGTTATTGTGCAAGAGAAAAATGGAGATTGAAATCCCCTTGAAATCCTGGAGGAAAGATGAGGGTGGGTGTAAGAACCGTACAGTGTAGTCTTTGGACTAAGTCTTGTTAAAGAAGTATTGACAGCGTAGTAGCACTGTCACTGTGTCTTCAAACATTTGCTTTATAAGCTATCTTCTGTCCTGATGGATTTTAGGCTCTTTACTTCAAAATGAGATGGATGAAATGGAAAAGTTTCTTTTGAGCCAAAGAAAGGAAAACAAAGAAATCAGAGGAATGAATGGTGGTTCATCATCTATTCATACATGTGCCCAAGGAGTAAAGGTATTTCCCAAATAAGATTCTAGACAGTCCCATTAAATGTTTCCTGATCCTATTGTACATATTTTCATTTGACTCTGATGTTACCTGGGGTAATCATAGAACTCTGTGACTGCAAAAAGCAATTCAAACCATCAGATCCAGAATCCTCCATGCAGAAATTCCTAACATTTCCAGCTTTTACTCATACACACGTAGTGCCAGGAATCCAACAGCTTCTATGGTTGCTGGTTCCACTGTCACCCTAGTCTTATTATTACCAAGAGTTTTCCTAGCAAACAACTGCCAGAATTAGGTTCAGAGCAGGAGAATCCTACATACAGCTTGTATTCCTTTGTATCCAGTGGAATTTGTAATGCAGCTTTAATGAAACATTATTTTCAATGAAGAATGAAACACGTTTAACTTTTTCAAGTGTAAATGAATGAGGTACAAGTAGAAACATTTTAACATTGCTGCATTTTTTTAAAAAGAAAAAACTACAACTGTAAAATCCTGATAGACAATATTCTGTTTTTTGCTTTCATCTTACTGATTCTACCCTCTTTCAATAGAGGTCACTGTTTTTTTAGAATAGAACTATTTTTTCTACCTGTGTTAATATAGTATTTAGTAATGAATCAAGAAAATATGCATTTCTATACTGTCTCTTTAATTTGTTTTTTAGAGCAGGAAAATAAAACCATTGCTTTTCGGTATTACTCCTGAGAATTCCAAATTTCTTTCAATAGTCTGATGTCTCTCTTTCATTTTACTGTATTACTGTGTTGAAAAAGATTGAGAACCGTTGCTCAGTGAAATATTGCTAAACATTTATTTCCTCTTAAGTTGAAGAAATTGCTGTTATTTCTTTTTTGTATATAGTTTAATGGTATTGAAGATGAGGATGACTGGGATTTATCATCTCTGGAAGATGAAAAACCTTTGAAAGATGAGAAAAATAAGAATGTACGTGCTGTTGAAAAGAATGATCCATGTGCTGTGTCAATGACCCATGAATGGGGAAAACCAATAAAGGATGAAGGTATTTTCACGCTGGAATTCCTATGTTATATTTTACCTGAACAATTTGAAAGGGGAGGTTTAATCCAGACCTACATCTACGGCTGTGGATACTGTTTACATAGACCTACAGTTGCGTGATAGCTTAGTGCTGAAGAAGAGTTCCTGTGGCAACAAGATGTACAACTCTCCCATTGCAGTCATTGAGAGGGCAGTGAGAGTTTCATGCATTTCCTAGCTTTGCCAAAATGGCCCCGACTCCCAAGCTGGGATGTTCCCACATTGGCCAACTATGGTTATGGGAGATGGCATTTTTTCCAAAAATATTTAGATTAGATAATAACGAGCACCTATATAAGGGGTAAGAATATGAAACAATAGGTGGCAGGGAATGGTAGCATCTTTCTCACTGAATAATCTTGCAAAACAACTGTTTTCTTTTTAAACAGGACGTCAGGATGCAGATATCTCAAGCTCACCGAAAAGCAGCCTGGTCACTGTTACAGATTGGAGTGACTCTTCAGATATTTGATTGTGCAAGGAGGTTTAATCTGATTTCTGTCCTTTTTTCTTATGGTGCACTAACAAGGAACTTTTCTTTACAAAACTGTGTCCAAAGTTTTTCCTTTTATTAAATGCAAGCTTTTAATTATGTCCAGCTGGTTCTCCTGGAAGTGGTTAAACAGTGTTTTACCAATTAATACTGCTTTAATACCTTTTTAAAAAAAAATCAAAACATATTTAAATCATACAAAGACCTTATATAAATTTATTTTCATTGTAATGCTATTTTCTTGCTTTTCCAACATCCAGGATGACAAAAAAGTTGGGAGAAGTTGTCTGTGTTTTGACTCCTGGCACTTCCGTGCAGCTCCTATCCTGGGCCCTCTTGCTGTCTGCAGCACTGCCAACTTCCCTATTGCTTTTTGGGTTGGGAGGAACAAGTCACTCAGGACGGGGAATTCCAAGGAGGCAGGACAAATCAGGCATTGCATCAGTGAGAACCATGATTAATCAGAACAGAGCTGGAAGGGACTTGGAGGTCTTCTAATCCAACCCTGTTCAAGCAGGAGATCCTATACCATTTGCAATAAGTGGCTGTCCAGTCTTTCCTTAAAAACCTCCAGCACCCACAACTTCAGCTTAATTGTCCTGTTAGGAACTTTCTTTTTAGTTTCAGGTTGCTTCTCTCCTTGATGAATTTTCATCCATTGTTTCTTGTCTTGCCTTGTGGTGCTTTAGAAAATGCGTTGACCCCCTCTTCGTGTCAGCCCTTCAAATAATGAAATGCTGCTATCGTGTCCCCCTTATTTTCTCAAGACTGGCCATAACCAATTTCTGCAACCCTTCTTCATATATTTTTGTCTCCTTAATCGTCTTAGTGGCTCTTCTTTGTACTTTTCCCAAAGCCTCAACATCTTTTTTGTAAAGCGGTAACTTAAACTGGATGCAGTATTTCAGGTTTGATCTTTTCTAAGAATTTACTGAGGAAAACCGGTACAAATAGGAAACACTGCAAAACCTATTCAGTTTCCTTTGGTGTAACATGAGCTGAAAGTTAACTGCACATCTGCTGAAGGTCCCTACCCAAAAACCCAACTGCATCTGTTGATATAACTGTTCTGCGAAACTACGGGGCAGTTTGAGAAAAGATTAGCAGATTTCCTTAATGGTAAAGAAGTGGACTCTTTTGAGAATCTGGCCACCTCTCGCAAGCTTTGTATATTTGTACAAATGGTGAGCACAGGAGTATTAGGGATAATATCAGGTGACATGAACACTGCTTGGGGATCGGTTGAAGCAACATAGGAAAGATGCATTAAAATGCTTTGCAGCACCATAAGTTGAACACATTCATCATGTGTTTTGTAACCTGTCAGACCTGACCTCTGGCCTGGCCTTTGTGCTCATCTATCACTGCTATCAAGCCTGCAAGAGAAGGTGGTGATATGCCCCTGCTTTTGATATGCCCCTGCCTCTTCTTATGAAGAGCAAAATGTCCTTTTGCCTTGAGCGTGCAGAAATAACTGCTCAAGGGGACGGTTGGATCAATGATCACACCAGATGCTATCTCCCTTAGCGTTTCAGGGTATTTAATAACTTCAGTGTACTTCATAGATTGAGCCCTAAGTGACCCTCCAACAAGCAAAATTTGAACTGAATTGGGGACAGAGGGCATAAAAATAAGATTTTTTTAAAAAAAACTGAAATTGTTTATTTTAAACCAACTAAACAATAAGATTCTTCTAATCTAAAATAATTACTAAAGCTACATTTCTGGTCTCATAAAAATGACTAAAAGCCTGTGTTCCTTTCTTATATCTCATTCTTTCCCTAAACATTCGGTATTTTTAGTTCTAGGCACAAGTAAGCATATCTGGAAACCAGTATGTGTACGTGTCATCCCTCCATCTTCTCATTACTGACGTCTAAATGTACAATGTCTGTGGAAGATCCTAACTTTCAATGGGTTTCATATCTTACAAAATCTCAGGACAGCATTGGTGTTTAATGGTATAATGTGTATCAAGGCAGTGAAGCTTTGTCAATAGGAGAAAAACAAGGAAGAAGCCATTCCTACTGCACTACAATTATAATTATATACTAAAATACTATGACAACCAGTGTGATGTAGTGGCTAGGCACCAGGCTAGAAACCAGGAGACCATGGGTTTTAGTCTTGCTGTAGCACAAAGCCAGCTGGGTGAATTTGGGCCAGTCACTCACACTCTGTCCTTGGAAGAGGAAGAAAAGGGCACACAACCCTTGCCAAGAAAACTGCAGGATTAGTCCAGGCAGTTGCCAGGCATTAACTCTGACCAGCAGGCACCAAAAAAAAAAAATCCAATACTACCTAGTTTCTAATTCACATTATCTAACAATATTACACAAAATGAAATGATATAATTAAATGTATATTACATTGTACGTTTTAGTGGTCTGATGAGACTTTCACTTTTTAGAGCAATGTAACAAACCTTCAGGGACACAGTTGATTGTTCCAATCAATACCTGAGGCTGCCTTGATTTAAATCAACCAATTTGCAGGTGAGGGATTAAGTGAAACTACAGAGAGAAACTCCTCAGAAATAGACATTTATCTCCTCATGATATCTAGTGGAACACAAGCTGCTTTGTGTAAATCTAAAATTCCAATTGTGAAATTTTACACAAAATTTTAACTTGTGGAAAGTTAAGGAAGAAAATCATTGTTTTGTGTTAAAGGCATTTGGGTGTGTTTCTGTGTGGGTTGTTAATCCATATAATTGTGATATTGGGATTAAAACTGTTAGTGTTTCATAATAGATTATTAAGATCTTGCTTAAGCTTATCCTGCTCTGTTTTAACATGCTTTTAAAACTAGTCCCAAGTTATTAAAAGCAGGTCTTCAAAACTGATGGATCCATTTAAAAGCTGCAACTGTTTGATTCTGAAGATCCCTCACAATATTGGCTGTAATCAAAATGACTTCATTTATATTTCTTTTTACAGACAGCAAAACATAGCAAGTTATTTTTCAGTTATAAATTATGTCTAATATAAGTATAAATCTTAAAACAAGTAATGAAGAAAATTTACATCAAGTAGACAAAAGTTCATTTATAAAACTGTTAAAATAGTTATAAAACTGCTGATGCTCAAGGTACCTAGCCACTTTTTAAAAATCATTCTGCGGATGGACAGCATATAAACATGAGCATTAAAAACATTCCTCCAACCACCCAGTTACACGTAGGCATTTTTGTCGAAATGCTTTGGGGGGATCTTGGATGTTTTAAAATCTGCTGAGTAGGCCTTGGTTCGAGTAGACATCACAGAAGCTGATTTGTTGTATGCATATACCATCCTGAAACACGAGAAAGTTTAGAGTTCATTTAAATATCAAGAAATATTGAAAGGAAGATGTCATGGAGCTGCTGTGTGCTTTTAAGTTTTACTATAGACAGACATAAGGGAAGGATGAGCACAGCCACTCTCCACAATTCATTTAAAGCAGCAGCATCAATTTCCAGAATCCCACAGCTGCCTTATTTATAGTCCTGGAAGAAGACATTGCTGTTCAGATGAATTGCAGGGGCTGCATGTACTCATACCTTAATTACAACAAAGAATATACCCATCCATTTTGTTCAAGTTGGGTAAAAACTTCTCAGACATTATTGCAGCTCAGGAGGCTACTTTGTGGTCAAGTCTCAATATTCTTTTAAGTGACCGTTTAACAAGAATAATGTTAACACTTTTTCTTTGAAGTGACAAGAATAGTGTTCATATTTTGCTAGTCCTTGGGAAAGGCTTCCTGTAACCAAAAGTACAGGGTGAAATTTTGAACAATTTTCAAAACTTCTCCGCTGTAGGAAAACTTACTAGCAAGGTAGAAGCAGTTTTTCTCAGCCTGAACTAAAGATTTTTTACACAGCAGTCTTGAGCTTTTTAATCAAATACCTAGAAAAATATAGGTGTGTGCTGAAGAATATGCTTGTGTTGAGTATCAGTGGGAAGCTAAAATTGCCTTAATGACCATACCATGCAGGTCAATTGGTCAAAGCCCTACAGGGTCAAATGCCAAGAGCATGAATTAATGGCCAAACCAGGAAAGGCAGCTGCTACCTTATTATTGATGACACAATGAAAGAAGGTCTGTGGAACATTCCCAAATGTCACAGACCTTCCCTAGGCTGATACCTGTAATTGCTTCATACTAAAAACTTGGAAAGGGACCTGTTAGCAATCACACTTCTATACTGCTTCATATTGCTTTACAGCTCTCTAAACAGTTTACAGAGTCAGCGTATTTCCTCTAACAATCTGGGTCCTCATTTTACCAACCTCAGCAGGATGGAAGGCTAAATCAACCTTGAGCAGATCAGAATCAAACTGCTGGCAGCGAGCAGTGAGTTAGCCTGCAATACTGCATTCTAACCACTGTACCACCTGGCTCTTATCTGACCCAAGTACAGAAATCAATGTTTGTTTTTCTCTACGTCATTTATTGTAGCAAGCTGTCCTTAAAACAGCTTCATTTCAGGCATGGAGTTTAAATTTTTGAGATGTACTTGTTTGTCCAAAACAGCGCAACCTGAGCATGCTTACTCAGAAGTCCATTCTATGTGAATCAGACGATCCATTCCCAAATTAAGACTGGGCTACACATAGCTCAGTGCTGGAAAGTGTAGAATCTTTCATGAATTCATACTACAATCCTACTTTAATCGTCAACATTCTCAACACAATCGGTAAAATCACAGCAAATGCATTACTGCACTATACTTCAAGATCCCAATTTTGACTCAACTCTTTCATATTTTGTGTATCGGGAAGCAAAATTAATGTACCACATAATAGATGGATGAAAAGGAAAGAAAGCTTGGAATTATAAGGACTACTAGTGAATACTGCTGTCTCAGTACTATTCAAGATAAAGGGATGTAGTTGGAAGGTGGTTTCACAATTATAAATTATTTCTGTGAAAACGATGCCCAGTAAACTTAAACAGCCCTGAGTCATGAATGATGACATTCATGCATTTTAAAAGCATTAAAATGCAACATGCATTATTTTAAAGAAGCACTAAGGCATCTTATGTGGCATAAATTATCAGTTTGTGCTACATGATTTCTAATCCTATGCTTAA